TAGTGTGTGTGTGATTATGGCAAAGCTTCAAGGGCTATCTGCCTAAGGGGAAGAATGCCTTCACGGAGGACTTTCTAAGGAAAACTGGTTCGTATACACGTTACACATGGGGAAAACCACGGAAACGCCCATGCAGCCAGCCCGTTTGCGGAATTCCAACCTCGGACCGAACTACCAGTGTTCACCGACTTTACCGCTCGGCCGCTGGTGGGCTAGCGCAGAATTAGAAATAAGTCAATATAAGGCCTTTCGCAGGGCAGGGCCAGTCTATATTTGCTTTGTAAGCTTAGTTTCTCATCTGAGAACACACAAAAGGCTGTCCCTACATGACCATTTAATTTAGAGCCATCTGTAAAAACCATGTAGCCTGTCATATTGGGGAGGCTTTTATGCTAATTCATCAGTTTCAATAAAGATGGATGAATATCTAAACCTTTCTCAAAGTAAAAATCTCTAGCTGAGAAGATCTCACTGAAACAATCGACAGTTTTATTACCAGCTTTTAATTTAAAGATAGCATATTCTTTTTTCGCTAAAATATCGATCGAAGGACATCCAGCCAAAATCTGAAGAGGTACTGTGGAAACAGTTCTAAAGTATTTAGTAATCCCCAATAAAGCGATTCTTTGAATTTACAAAATTTGTTACGCATTCGAACCGTTCCAGTCCACCATGCGCCACATGCATACAAGATCTTTTTCTCAATAGCTCTTTTATACAAACTCTTAAGAACTTTACCTTGGAGGTTCATTTTACTAAGTCTATTAAGAATATGGGTGCATTCGATCCTTAATCTAGGTGAGGTATAAAAGTGAGCTTTTCATCGATCGTAATGCCCAAGTATTTGGTTGTCTTAGAAACTCTAATTGGTTGTCCATACAGTTTGCAAAGATTTGCAAATAAGATATATTGATCTAAACCTTTTATATTCACAAAAATTTACTTAATGGCATCAATTCCAGTCCAATTCTGTTTACCAGTTGCCAAGCGGTAAAACTGCTGAACATTGATATTTTGAATAGGATTCAAATCCTGGTGAACAGGCAGGCTGTATTTTCATGGTTTTACCCATATGTAAGATGAATATGACCAAATTTCCTTTAAAAAATCCCTCCGAAGGAATCTCTTTCTTTTAGCAGATATGTCTTGCGTACTTTGTCGCAATCCGATTCGGGTCTTCCCATGCTTTCAAAATTCTCACTTCTTAACATTTTCTATTTTCCTTTTTGATTTCTTCGCCAAATGATGCTATATTCGTTGTCGCCTTTGCTCCACCCATGGGTTTTCCTATAAATGCGGTTGTTACTTCTCCCATGCTTTGCAATTTTTGATCCTGCACAAGAGTATCCTATTTGATTATCCTGAAAATCAACAAAGTTTATTCAATGCTAAGATAATCGAATGTTGTTTACTTGCCTAATTTTACATGACGCTGAAGTGTTGGTTTTCCAATAAGACTTTTTGAATTGTCAAACTCTTCATACAATGCAACTATCTCCAAAAATTGATGCAGTTTTCGTTATTCTTTCTTTAGGTTTTACAATTTTAAATCAAGCATAAAATAGTCACTTAAATACCACCGAAAGTTTTAACTGTTGCAGTGAAAATATTCTAATCCTATAGAAAGTCCATGTTTATTTCACAATCAGCATATTTGCATTTTTTCAGTCTTAACAATCTTGCGTGAAGATAAAATAAATAAACTATGAAGATAAAATTAAAATAAAGTATGATGAATCCTCTCTCTAAAACAAATTCATTTGGCGTTACAGATTGGAATATTTGAATATGCTGGGCATATTAAGACTACATACTTTGCGAAAGGACGCTATTGTGGAAGACCTTTTAAAGAAAATTGGATCGTTGTATTATAAACAAAAGAAGTAACGAAAAATAGCATCTAGCTAGTTCATTTTCTGTTAATAAAATCTACGATAAACTAAGAGCATTTGCTTTATCGATGTAATGAACTGGCGACTAGCCAATATTCGCAATGAGAAAGATATCTATCTATAAATTGACTTCAGAATTATGAGCACACTTCTGATCCAGTAGATTAATCTGTGGTTCTTAACCAATAGACTGTATTTTAATAACAAGGCCCCGTTAAGGGTCTCCTACGTAACTGTGAAATCTCACAAGGAGCTGCAGAAATATCCAACATCAACAAAAATAATAGCTTCATATTTACCTCCGATTTACATTATTACCACGAGATTACGCTGTTAGACTTGCCTTCAAACTACTGAGCTAAGTTTCTCCACACAGCACATAAATTAATGGTCGGTATACTTAATAATCCTTATTTATTTTGTGTCTAGCATAACGAACAACGCATTCGAATGAGTCATAATCGCAGCCAGGATAATTGAGGTATTCTTCGGCATTCTTCCTCAAATATAAAACTAAGTTTTCTGGATTTACGAAAATGGCATTTATTTTATCTTTAAATTGAATCCATTTATATTTATATGCAATTTTCAATGCTTTCTTTTTAATATAAAAGCTTTAAATACTTCTAATATTTTGCCACAGCTTCATATAATTGAATCTGAAGGATCACCGTTCCCCTTCTATTAACTCGTGAAAATATAGTGTGTCTCCGAATCACTCAGCTTTTCATAGCGACTTGGTTGGTGACTGGCGTGAGCAAAAACTATAGCCACTCTTGCAGAATTACATTTTCCTTCCCCAATGTGCTGTCATAGTATGTAAATGATCAACATGTACATTTAGCAATTAAAAAATACTGTCTTTAAATTCTATCAACGGAACAATTGATACTTTATTCTTTGCTTCGGAAAATCTAGTGGTCTCACCAGTGGTATCCGAACTGAAAACATGGTGGATTATATCTCTTCACCACAGGGATTTAATCAACTAGGTCTCGTATCTCACCTCATTCGACTTTTAAAAAGGAGAGAAGGTAAGATATTAGCGAGAGCAGGCATACCATATTCCCTTATGCCTGCTCTCGTGGTGCAAAGTTAGAATAGTCAGAGCGTCCAGCAAGCAGTTGGAATTTTCATCGTTCGAGCGGCTGCGAAGGCGCAACTGATTTTTTTTTTTTTTCATGTTTCCCTGCTTCTAAAATCTAATGGTATAATCTGTATAACTCTACGGATCAATTAACAAATGCTAAAAAAAATATGAATATGAGTTGCTGTCTGGCAATCTTTTTTTAACATCTTCAAAAAATAAGTGAAGAAAACATTGGCATCAGAATCATAAGAATAGGTATCAATATCTCGTAAGTTATTCCCAGAAAAAATAGCACATCGTAGTTTTAAACCTTTTCCATCACCAGAATTCACGATTACTGAGAATGCGATATGTTAATATGCATACTGAAGATTTAAGATGAAGGTAATGATGATGATACAGATGATGCAGATATACGCAAATGATGATGTTGTTTAGGAATGAAGTTATGAAAAATTATTACTGACAACTAATAATATTGTTTTCAAGTAAATCCTATTCTATTAGAATAAAAATTCATTGAATATCGTATTTCTTTCATCCTCTTCGCAATATAATGGCCAGCCTCTTGCTAGTTAAGCATTCGTTAAAATCTATTGGCAAGCTATTTGATCACCGAAAACGTGCCGTGATCAAATAGCTTGCCACCGAAACGTTCTTTAAAAGAATTTAAAGTGAATTTCAGACGACTATAGATATCACACCAGCAAGTAAACGGTAATGCATACAGCGAGGCTCTAAAGAGAGGTCGCATCCGCATCCTCGGTTTCGAACTAGCAGTCAGTCTCCGCTAACCATTATACCGTCTAGTACATTGATTATAAAGTCACCTTATTTATTTCCCTTATAAATAAATATTACTAAAAACAGGTCGGAATGTGTCTTAAAATTAATCACATCTTAAAATCCCATATATTTCGTAAATTTCTGTAAATTATTAATTTAAACGAATATGATACTGCTATTAATAAACCAAAGTCGATTATTAAAAATATTTACTAGACGTATTTGAGCTTTTTCTTTTTAAATTCGTTTATAATCAAAGTCTGTTTCTTTTTTTTTAAATTATACTGAAAGAAAAGGTATAGCTTATAATCGATAGCGTTTTAGAATCGAAGAAAATGTGCTGTATTTGATGTTTTATATTATGCACTATTGAGCAATTGCTGAGGACGGATAATACTATCTTTAATATATCTCAGTCTTTCATCAGATTGTAGATGCTAACCGATGGAGTGAGAGTCGTACTATTCATCAGCCAGAAAATATTCAGGAAAGGAACCTATAACCGAGATGCAGATTCATGGTATGGAACGGGATCATGATCAATGGTCGCGCGTCCCTGTGGTTGTAACTTGAACTATGATCGGCTAACAATACACTGATGACAAATTTCTTTCCATGGACGACAACGCAAAATATCATTGAAAACTCACTATTCAGGATTGCCTAAACAGAGAGAATATTCAACGCTTCATATGGCTGGCACGTTCTGCAGATCTAAACTCCATTGGAAGTGCTTGGGACGCTCTGGGGTCGCGCAATGTTGGTCAAAATATCCTCCAACAAACAAGAACACAGTCATCCGTGCATTGAACAGAGCAGTGGGATCAAATTCCTTAACAGCTGTTGAATAATATTGTGCACAACCTCACACGATGTATGAAAGGATTTAGCCCACTCCATGGTGGATATATCCCACACTGACACCTTTCTCAGGTGCCTGTTGTCGTTCATATGACTTTCCCATTTCTCTGCACACAGCATTAAAGGAACATTTTTTTTACACTTCGATGTTTTAAAACCTTCTGTATTTTCGTGAACAATAAATGTCCTTTATTATAATTTCCGAACAGTATGACAGCAATATTTTACACTGCTTAGCATTCACCATCGCTTTATGTTATATTACATTGCAATTTGGGATCTATCCTTAGGAATTGTCTAGATATATATAGCTAAAATAATTTACTATTTGAATAATATTAAAGGTAACTGGGAAGTTTGAGAATGTTTACCCTTGGTCCGAGAAGGGGTAAAGCTGCACTCCATAAAGCACCAATGCTTGCGGTAGCCAGAAATGCAAAGACAGCTTCCTTTCTGTTGGGCATGTAACCTGGCAGAAGAAAATTTCATGAATAAAAAGTCTCTCCTCCTAAGTAGAACAGAATAATTATTGAAAAGAAAAAGAAGCTTAGTACATGCTACGACATCATCCTTTTTGACCCCGAGATCCTTGAGAGCGGCTGCATATGTCTTGGTTTCAGTATACAACTCTTCATACGTCACGTATTCCACATTGTCGTGATCACCTGTAATAAAAAGAAGTTTTGTCGTGATCACCTGTAATAAAAAGAAGTTTTGAAACACACTATGAATCTAAGAGGTTTCAATATTTTACAGAGTGGCCCTGAAGTACCAGTTAAACCCCTCTGTTACTGTAATTTTAAGAAATTTGATGCCACATTATAATCATTAAGAAAGAAATTATTCACTTATCATTTATTTGTATCTTTTTTTCATCACATGTAATTAACCGTAGTTTTATCTAGTTTTCAGATAAGGGACATTTTTGGTTCGGCGAGTTCATGAATAGGCAGAGCTGCAAAATACAAATATGTTTTGATTGATTAAAAGTTTTATCCATAATGTGGGAGTGAGCCTCCAAACTCCAGTTTTGGATCTCCAATTCTGAATTTCTCGTGATAAACATCTATCATTGATGTCCTATGGAAACTTACTTGAGAACTGTTTCATGACTTTCCATGGTTCTGATCTCGCAGCTCACTTGCATGAAGACAAAGCTAGCCCCAGTTGCATAAAATCCAATTTCAGTCTTCTGAATGAACATTTCAGACATAGTTTAATATCTTTGAATTACCTAAATCAGTACCGCCATATCTGCATCCTCAGAATGTAGGTATCTGAAATATATGTCAGAACAACCCGAAAACGTCAGAGATGAAACCGTCTAAATCTTTTCTTCCACAAGGGACATCCACATACATAACAAAGAGCATAATGTTTCAAAGACAGTCTTTTCAATAACTATGTTTATAGGTTGGCAAATATACACGGGAAAAATTTGCTTTTCGTAGTCATATTTAATACTTTTATACAGATATCTTTAAAATATACGTATTTTTCGTAACAGAAATTAAATCAGGTTAATATTGTATAAGTAATTGCAGTCTTTTAGAAAAGAAAATACGTTACAGATAACCTACTGGAGGCCCATACCTAAATTTATTTGTAGCATTCTCTAAAACCTATGAAGGGCATGGAGTACAGCAAATACAGAATAACATTTCAATATAAATTAAATCACACAGTAATATTTACACTTTATAGGTAACGCTCCTGTTGGAATATTTCTCTAATTTCTTATCTTTAACTAACTTGTATCTTTCGGAGGCAACATCAATTTATAACGAAATCAAAAGAAACAAGGCATAGTAAAATTAAAAATAGATTTTTAAGAATTTACAATTTTAGTTTTCTAAAATTTAAGCACAAAGGTATGCAATAGAAGAATCCGATCTGCTCAGAAACCAGAAAGTTCTATGTCGTGTCATGTGCTAAGAAAATAGTAGCTTTGGTATCGTGCTGTCTACTACAAAAGTATGTTATAATTAGACCATTTAGAAATTAGAAAAGTAAAGTGTTGGGGAAATGGGCAAAGGTGTATGGTGTATTGTGAATACGGCAAAGCACACTACGGCTATCTGCTTAAGGGGAGGGATGTCTTCATGGAGGACTTTCTAAGGAAAACTGGCTCATATACACGTTACACATGGGGAAAACCACGAAAACGCCCATGCAGCCAGCCCGTTCGCGGGATTCGAACCTCGGACCGAACTACCAGTGTTCAGCGATTTACCGCTCGGCCGCTGGTGGGCCGAAATGGGCAAAGGAGCAACAGTTAAAGCAATTATTTATAATAAAACACTGGAATGTTTACAAACTGAAACTCCTCATTTTCAGATACTCACGAAAGGTGCGTTGTTAGCTTTCATGATCATGTTCGCCTATAGTCAACTACTTTGATTCGGGGACTTCTGAATAATTTTTGATGAGAGACTTTGAACAATTTTCTGTTCAGCACGGTAGTATAGTTCTGTTCTAGTGCCAAGACACGTATATCTCATACAGAATATGCGTATGTGACTCAGCATGAGCACAACTGATGAACACTGAGTGATATACAGTTTAATTCAGAAACTGTATTGAACTAATGAACAAGCTTTGTTCTTCAGTATACAGTTGCTTAGCATTATTTATGTGTTTCATAATAAATAACATATAAAATATATCAAATAAATATTTCTCATTATTTATGTGTTTCATAAATAGTGTTTTATATGTTTATATATATATATAATTTATGTTTTGTAATTTACGTATGCTTTATGAGTATTTTACTTATATATATTGCTATGGATTTGGTATTTAAATAGCTAATGTTAGCTGAATTATAAATTAAATTGTTTGATTCCCCGTGCAATGTAGCGCGTGACGAATATTAAAGGAAATCTAAGCCGGAAAATTAGAAATACAAGAGCACGTGCATTTAACGTTTAATAAATAAATATCTCTTTTTGATTTTGAGAAAATTCGAGAAAATTCTTGCGCGCGATGTAAAATCTTATAAAAAGGAGGAAAACCTCTCAATTCAGTAGTTGCTAGTTAGTTTGTTGTTGTTTTAAGAGTTTGTTTAGAAAACGAGAAAATTCGAGAAAATTCTTGCGCGCGATTTAAAATCTTATAAAAAGGAGGAAAACCTCTCAATTCAGTAGTTGTTAGTTAGTTTGTTGTTGTTTTTTAAGAGTTTGTTTAGAAAACTGCTCTTGATGATTATAGCAAATTCATGGACTAGCTTTCTTAGCTGTTTTGAATTAATTCTGTTGAATGTTTGAGTAGTTAAAAAATAACTACTGTAAGATATTGTAATACTGTACGAATATCTGAGGAAATTGAAGCATTTTTCTCTTATTTATTTGTGATAATAATAAATCTTATTCATTTTTCATTGGACTTGTGCATACAATTCAAACGGACCCGTACGCACGCAATAATATGTAAGATAAAAAAATATAAATGCAAACTTCTAAATTTAATTCACTCTAATTCATCTCTTTGTCTTAGAAATAGCGCTATAAATCTAAACTGCGTCATTCAAATTAATCATGCGATCTTACGTAACCCTTAATGCAGATATCTCTTGCCTAATCAAAATAATTGTAAACCAAAACTAACTCAAACTGAAACTGACTCCGTCCCTTCTTTCTCTGCATTACCTACTGCGACTCTGTCTCTCTTCTCGCTTACGCTTTCGTACTGTTCAGACGCTGCTGCAATCACACTTCTATCGCCATAGTATCAAAACTGTAACTGTTCTTAAACAGGCACGAGTAGAGTGCCAAGCGAATTGTGGCCACCTTTGTGAATTTAAATAAATATGAAATGTAATTCGGCTCGACTGTTTATTCTTCAAAATGGACGGACGCACTAAGATTCAAGTATCTACGCAATCAGCATTCCTACGCTACATTTATCTACTTCTTAGTGTTTTTATCTACGTCTTAATGTTCTTATCTACGTCTTAATGTTCTTATCTACGCCTTAGTGTTCTACGTCTTAGTCTACGACGTTTTATCTACATTTTAGTGTTCCTACAGCAGTGCTTCAAATATGTTGTGCTATCATTGCATATATTGTAGAGACATTAGGTATTACTTTGGCAGCAGGAGAGATGAAAAATTAGCAACGCCTTCGCCGGGAGTCGAACCACGGACCTCTGGAATACCGGCCCAGCGTGCAGAACCACTACACCACGAAGGCACCCTAGGAAGGCGGAAGAAATACCTTATAATATATATAGTTAGTTATATTTATATTTTATATTCTATGTTCTCTGTTTTATATTCTGGCACTGCAATATATTTCTTGCATCTTCTGTATCCAAAAAAGTAACCATTGTATTGTCATCTAGTCCTTGTAACTTACTAAAAATATTTATAAATTCTTCAATAAACGCTGGATAGTGGAGGACGAGGGGCATACACCTGCTTACCTCTGGTAGACGCCAGGTACCCCTGTCCTTTATCACCTATCACCTGCCAAGATATTTTCAAGTGTTCCCAGATCTCAAAGATTATCTGAATGGTCACAGATTTCGGAGTGAAGAGGGTATCAAAGCAGTGGCGACAGGAAATTTCAGTGTTAGATAAACGATATGTTACAAGATGGTACTGAGAAATTTTCGTATGCTTAGATGTGTTCTTCAACTTACACGGCAAGCAAAATGAAAAACGAAGGTGTCCATCGTGGAATGCAATATGCCCCAGTATGTTGTGCTCAAATAAATATTTCTTTTGAAGTATTAAGCTTTGTAATAATTTACGTTTCAGGCATCCTGCAAAGTAGCTTTAGAAACAACTGAATAATATAGAAGCTTGACAAAATAAAATATTTAATAGCTCTTTGCAAAACCACAAGCCAAATGAACAAGCATTTTATCTTATTACACTAAAAACTTTCTTGAAATACAACTAGCTAAGAATAATACGAAAACTCTGTTTACTATTATTTTTAAACTTATGATAAAACTGAGCTGAAGAGCTAAGTATCTTTTTCAGTTTCACTTACCTGTTGCTATAATGGCTAGCTTTTTTGAATCTCTGTATTTTAAAATATTTTCTGCGTAATTTAGACGAGCACCTTTAAACCACTCCATGTTTAAGAAATCATTTTTTCTGTCATAAACCTGCAAATGAAAATTAATTTTTATTCCAGTTTATAATCGTATTGTAAGGTTTATGTTAATATTTCTAATAGTTAATTTTTAGTTAACAATTACTTTCCTATCTTCCTCAATTTCAGATCACAACTGCCGGGCAGAATATATTTTCAGAATCGCGGTTGAATGCAAATGAGGAGAAGTAGTTAACTGTGAAGTTCTACTGACTTCGTGAGAAAGCCAGAGATTCTGACTCTAGCGCGCGTTCACCTTTTTAGGCTACTCTCTCTCTTAAGCTATTATTATTATAGGCCGTACTTTAGGCCCTTGATAGCTTCGCCGTTAATTAGCGTTAAGGGACCAACTGTGTTAGAATCTTTGATAGCTTCGGCTATATCTTTTTAGTTAGATCAGTTAAGTTTAATTTCTTAGTTTCCTGAGTTCGAGCCCGAGTGGAGGCTTTATTGTAAAACTCCAAAAAGGAGTATTCCGTGAACCTTATTTGGAATAATAAAGGGTATTTAACCCTCTCACGTTTTGTTCTCTGTCTCACAAACTCAAGCGATTATTCTCTTATCAGTTCTGAAGGTTCCTCAACTTTAGATTAAAACACAGGAATCTTACAATATAAATAAACTCTTTTGAAATGATGCTTTTCCTTTTTACAGTTATAGATTTAGTATAAGATATCGATACAAAATATTACCATCTTAATCTCCTCTGCAAGCGTTTCGAGAATATTTTTCGTTCTTTCACTCAGTGAAAGAAATTGAGATTAGAAACTGCAGATATATTTCTTGAAAAATAAATTTCTTGTAATATAACTAGTTTACCCAAGTTAAGAGAATCGCTAATTGTTATTCAACATTTGCTATTATTTTCGAAATTAAGACAAAATGGTTAGTGTTACCAAAATTAAATTAAACAATAAATTCCAGTTTATTCTGTTTATTGAATCTGTATTTTTCGAAATATCTATATATTCGACTTGTATAGCTTACGAAATGTGTGTTTTTTTTATCGTTAGCTTATTCTTTTAATGAAACGAAATTTTTAGAAGCGCTTTTAATCTGTTTTCGAGACTTCCTTATTTCAGCAAAAATTTCATTGAAAATTGCAGCTCAATAATAACAACTTGTTATTGAAAAACAAGAATTTAATACTTTTTTTCATTTTTCTAGGCTTTGATGGAATGGCAGTAATGCGCATAGTTTACTAAAATTGCTTAGATGATTTTTGTTTCGTCTTTGATTAGAAGATTAAAGAAAATTTTGAATTGAATTCCTCTAGTTCTACAAGAGCCTCTTTATTTTTATTAGTGCCACGTAAATCTTATTACTGCTTTCATTGCTTCATGCAAAAAGAATGGTTTTTATAGATATTGCCCTTTGAAAAAGTACAGAATCACACTACTTCATTTCTCATAATGAACAAAACATCACTATCCTTTATTTTTATATGAACGATAGAAAAAGAACATACCTATACACAAAATACTTTGCATTACTTTAGCTATTAGTATTTAATTGTAATGTAATGCAGTTTATAGTGTATTTTAGTGCATACTTGTAGTATGCAGAAATGCAAAATTTAGCATTTAAACTTGGTCGTATTTACATAGAATATATAAATATTGTGTTCTATATAACATTCTCTATTATCTACGGTTTCACGTATCTGCAATAAGTCTTAGAACGCATTGCCTGCAAGTACGGCTGCCAATAAACAATTTTTTTAAAAAAATTATATAGAACAAAATACAAAACATACTTTTTTTCAACAAAATTAAGTAATGGACCTTTTATTCATTATCCTGAATAAATAATTTTGACAGAGTATTTCACTTAACTCCATCATATTTGTTTAGTCTATTTTTAGAAAAGAGCTCTTTTGATTCCTTAGAATTGTAGATCCCTTAGAGTTATTTATCTATATAGAGCACGAAACTGCCCTCCTTTAATGTTCATACGTTGTATATAGTATTTCTGTTCTGTAAAATATATAATTTTTAATTTATCTCTTTTCAAGAAATCTAAGACCAATTAATAAGATTTCCAGTATCCAAAGAAAATATTTGATGAAACTTAATTTGAATATTTTTTATGCGATAACATGAAAGCAAGCTCATGCGTATTATTGGCTTATAAACAATTATTCTACATCTAAGCTACTAAAATGAGGTGTCAGAATAGCACTTAGTCATTCCACTTTTAGTGTAGAACTTTATGAAAGTTGTAAATTAGATATGTTGTTAAAAATAGACGCAAAAATTAATAAGGGAACAATATATTGATTTTAAACTGCTGTATCTGCTAGATCGATACGTGTGTATTAAAGAGTTTATGATAAATAGAATGCCATTCATGAATAGTTTACCAAAATTTCAGATGATTGTTATTTCGGCTTTGATTAGAAGATTAGAGACATTTTTAAACGCAGATATTGTTACTAAATGCCTTTGCTAAATATTATTTGACGAGTACATTCGCATCATATTTAATTTCTTAATTCCAAATTTCCACAATTTTAGCGTTATGCAAAATCTCGTTTCCTCTTAGACTACGTTGCTTTTCTATACATTTCAATACAAACTGTTTACTTTTTAAATAATAAAGAACTCAAAGGAACGACTGGAAATATAAGAGTAAACTCCTTACGTTTCCTTCATCATAGGGTCTTGTAAAACATTATTTTACCACAAAAAACCAGGACGGAAATGCAGGACAGACGTTGTCTTAATAAAAAAAAATTAGTTTAATTTAATTATTTTATTGTTTTATTAAATTAGTTATATTTCTTTTAATATTTAATTTTTTTTATTTCGCTTTTTATATTATACCACCTAGTAAGAAATTGATATCCAATTGTTTTCATACCCTCTTTTAACAAAATTTAACTCAATTTAATTGTGCATAATAACTATCAGATAAATTCACTGTGAAATCCAGCGATGAAAGGATAAAATACTTTTCCAAAGAAATAAATGTCACGTTCATCAAAGCTAATTTAATAGCTTTATTTTTTCCAATCGCGGGCACATTTAATAGCTTTATTTAAAAATCAAAAATTAATTATTTAATTAAATTTTCAAAAATATTCTATTTATTTGCATTATTTAACAAACAGAAAAAATTAAAAAGATTCAAGTGCAATAAGAAGAAACATAAATCTTATTTGACCTTGAATGAACAACTGGGATAACCATTGTTCTGATCGAGTATCTGACGGCCAAATAATTAGAATCCAGTTATACACAGTATTGGTATCTACCAGTACAGAATCCGGAAAACCATTTAATATATAAAATATTGTCCTAGCTGGTTTTTTTATATCTTAATTTGTTTAAACCGCTCATAGTAAACTTCATTTATATTCTGAAAAAAAAAAAAAAAAAAAAACTGGTTCCAAAGTATTCTGTATCAAGTATGTAACATAACACTTAGGAACATCTTTCATTAATTGCAATAACGCCTCAAATATTCATAAAACTCTGTTGGCTATATTTTAATTTATGTAAAGTATATTTATTATTAAAAGTAAAATTAAGATTTAAATTATTAAAGAAATACGTTTATCAGTTTTAAATCCCACAGATTTTCAAGCAGTTAAAGACTAATTAATTTTAAAAGATAAATTAAAGATCTTAAGCTTTGCCAGATGGCAACATACTAAGAAATGTCTGTGGGAGAGGATGTAAGGAAACCAATTTGAAGACCTTTTGTTTCACGCAGTGGCAGACGGAAGATATATTTATAGTGGCATCACATAATGTAACGCAACAAATTTAGCGATACGAAAATTCTGAATGTCCACGGATGTCTCTAATATTAAAGTTTGTTACAAAAGTTAATATGTATTAATTTTATGTAACAATATGAAAAGGTTTTGTTACAAAATTGTACGTAAAAATAAGGATTTAAAACGCCATTGTGACGCCGAATAATTTCGCTGTCTTCAAGTGCAGAAATTTGTTTTGACAATTCCTATTCTAGAAGGGGAAAAGGCAAAGTTCTATTTTTTACCTCTGTAAATGGTTGAGAATGTTTGACGTCAAAAAATTCCCATACGCATTCCCAGAATTCAGGAAATTTTTCTGCCGACCACTTCTGGAGATTCCAGTAATCGCCTGTAAGATTAAATAGAAAAGGACTGAGATTAAATACAACAAATGCTTTGCATAGTCCGGCTTCAGTCTGTCCGGTTTCAGTACAGTTCGGTTTAAAAATTTCAAAACAAACTAAATTACAATTGAGAAAAATAAAACTAAATTCTAAATAGCCAAAATTATTTTTAATACATAAATGACCAGGTTTTCCCCTTCATACAGGCAAGTCTTTTTTTCTTTTTTTTTTTTAATGTGTGTGCAGTTCAAAGTTATGCACTAAGAAATTAGATAATAAAACTCTTATTAACATAGATGAAAAACGGGCTTAGAAAGAACGGGAGGACAATTTAATAAACAACGACTGTGTTGTAGTTCCTGCATAAGAATTAATAGGTGAACAGCTAACAAAAATTATTGGAAGGACCGAACTTTGTCAGAGAATATTACGTAAACTGAATCCAGTATTGAACGTAGCCTTACAAGTCGAATGATAAGCACTATAACGTATTACTGCAAAGAAATGTGTGAAGAGAGAAGACAGAGAAAAAAAATGGGCAAACATCGATATTGCTATTTTTAGAGAATAAAAAATGAATTAAAATTATTTATAATGAGCATAATTAAATTTATTAATCGCGTTTTAGTTATTGAAATAACATAGAAAATATTTTTGATGATAATGATATTACTATTATTATTATTATTATTATTTTGTATGATTGGTCAACGGGATGATTGACCTGTAAATACTTCCCAAAAGTCAGATTTAAAAGATTCACCAAACCCTCAAGTATAGCATATTTCTTACCAGACACGGCCCCTTCTTGTCATATTTATACAGATTGGGGCTAAGAGATACAAAGCGGTTCACTGGCTACATCCAAACATTATGCATTTACTTGTCAACTTACGAAACGTTTTCATCTGAAACTTCCCTCAATAGACAGCATTATTTGCTTGGAGCGGCAAACGGCTTAACAAATGCTTCGTCTATGTCTAAACTACATAAAGCTTTTTAAATGCTTCTGCAATAGCATAAAATTAGGTAATTTTCTTCTGTATTAATTAGTTACATATATTTTGAGTGTGTTCATAACAGTATTAAATAGTGTAGGTATGTATTTATAATGCTGTATTGTTGCACATTTAGTGTATATGTTGTACATATTGTACAGCATACACACATTAAAAAAAAATGCTACAGTTCTATATCGCCCGTTCTACTGGGCCGACTGACGAAACTTAATCTGCGTTTTTCATGCCTCGTGAAGCGCGATTTAAGGTATATATTAGATTTATATATGGTATAATGTATTTTCGCACTCCTTTCATCATGCCTTAAAGGTGTAACGGTATCACACTCGGCGCCCATTCGAAAGGTCCAGGTTTGCATATTTTTCAAATCTCCTGCTTTTTTTTTCTTTCTAAAAAATTAATGACTCTACAGTGGTGCCCCAACTAAAAGGTAGTAGACTATAATTCATCACCACCGAAATATGGCTACTTGGTCCCCTAATCCTCAGTCGCCCTTTAAAAGAGAGAGTCTATAAGGTATTTTCTCCCTCCTTCCATGTCTTCGTGGTGTAAAGATAGCACACTCGGCGCATATTCAAAAGGTCAGGTTCGAGTCCCAGCGAGGGCACTGTACACTTTTCACGTCTTCTACTTTGAGAAAAACAACTTGAGAACTCTACGTAGTTCTGTTCTAACATAGGTATTCTGACACAAAATTGGAATTTTTCTGAAATGACATATCTGTTTTTTCGATATTTCGATTCTACGACTCAAATTATGTCCAAATATTTAATTTTGTAAAATTTGGGGAAAAACTTACCGAGAAATTTAAAACTTTATCTGGGCGCACTTTTTTGAGTTTGCGCCAAGAATAATTCGCTTGGCGAAATTCTTAATTTGTAGTAATCTGTTTTCTTTTCCCTTTTTTCATTCTACACGAACGAAAAAAAAGGTGCATCGTTCATTCTTTCAAATAATTTTGTCAAGATGCATAAAGCACATTTGGCGTTACTATCACTTACAAAAAATATGCCAATATGTAAATTCAAGTATATCGTTGGAACTTTGAATTAAAACTAATTTTTTGCAGATATGACTAGAAATACATGCACTTTAAGGTGATGGCAAGAATTTTATAGATTATAATTCAAAATACTTTTCTAAAAATTTATAAAAATTACTAAAAAGTAAAAATTTAAAACATAAATCAGAATATATCTGCGGTTTTATTTGGATATAACCTAAATTTCGAACTGTGAAAGAAAGAAATAAATAAGTTTAATAAAAAAGAAATATTAATACATATATACTAAATTCAATTAACATTGTACAGCTAAAATTTTGAGACCTAATTTTTTAAAAACTACAAGTGCAACTTTTTCGAAACTTTTCGCTTTGGTAGAATTTGAGTTGTAGAATCGAAACGTGGAAAACAATTGGTATGTTATATCAGAAAAAGTCCGATTTTGCGTCAAAATACTGATGTTTGAACAATTCTATATATAAATTTAATATGTATTCTAAGTCGCGCTTTCGAGACATGAAATTCGCAAGTTTAATTTCGTCAATCGATCCAGTAGAACGGAAAATATGAAACTGCCCCCCCCTCATTTTTTTTTTCAGAGTGTATATATATTTTTACTGTATTACAATTTTCCCTGTATATATCATCCTAAAAGTTACTGAAGTCTTATATCCTGATATATATTACTACGCAAAATTGTGACTTTGTAAAATAATTTCAATATTCATTAAATGTCCATTTGGCTTGTCAAATCACGTCCTTTTGTCTAGGTTTGTTAGATAGTGGATTATCGCAGAATGGCAACTTTGCCTGAAAGGGCAAACAAGTCATCTGCCATTCTTGTGGAGTTAAAGAAATGTTTTATTTAATCAATTTACATCATTTATACAGTCTTCAAACTACCACAGTTTTCTACCCGTGAAACACTTTAGTAAAAAAATAGGATAGTCATATATTGGCCAATAGCTTAAAAAAACTCGATTGGCCAATCTACTATCTATTCTATCGCACGACTGATATATCTTGACACTATAGTTTTAACAACTGATAACAAAATTCTTTTGTTTCGGCTCTTGTTTTATTTGCCAAAACTCTAGTTACCTGCTATTCTTGTCATCAGTTAATATATCTAACAACTGGGAACTTGGCAGGACGCATAAAGACACCAACTAGCTAACTCCAACTGGTAACTTTATGTGTTACGAGAAATTAAAAGATAAGTTTAAAAAAAAATGTGCTGTCCTGTATTAGTCATATGTGGGGAAGGAAGACTTAAAATATGTCTATGAAACAGGGAGCATTTTAAAACTAATTGATTAAATCTGAAGGGAATCGAAATTTTTTTCCTAATACCCCCCCCCCATTGGAAAATTTAATTTTCTTTTGCACTGGATGAGTCTGGCTTCGCTTCTGATAGAAATCAAATTTTATGTTTTCAATCCGGTGGTTTCAGGCTTTTGTTGTTTTCAGGTGCTTAAAAGCATGGGACTTCTAGTATCTTCCGCTGTCCTTCTTTCTAGTGTAAATTATAGTTGCATTATTTCAGCCTATTTATTTGTACTATTTGCAACAAAAGTTTCGTATGTAAGTGGACTTAGAAGTGCTTCTCAAACACCAAAATGCACGCCAGGTATAAAATATTCCTGTGGAATATAGAAGACTTTGATCGCACATATAAAAGCACATCCTTTTTATTCGACGTGCGTTGCGGTCTCTAGAATACTCATATGCAAAAAAGCAAATAAATCATTTCTAATGAATTCACTCTCTCCCTTTCATTCGGACATTATCTTTAGTGTTGATTTTAAAAATGAATTTATTTTTCGAGCACAATCTGGGATTGGTACTGTTGTAATTTAGCTTGTATTATTGTAATAATTTTCTTTGATAATTAAAGGTAAAAGTAACGGATAAAATTTTTAATTTACAACTAAGATATCACCCTTTTCGCTCCGGAACTGATATTTGTTTGACTGTACATATGTAAAGAATATGATAGTTGACTGGGAAAAGCAGCTCATGCCAATATATAAAGAAAAAAAATAAGATTAACATTCATTTACTTACTAATCTGGATACCGTACTTCTTCTCCACAAACTTCGTGAATCGGACTGACTGCGTTTCTGTATATTTCGGATGATACACGATCTTTGGGTGAAGCTCTTGGCCTTGCTGATTTACAACCATTGTTTAAAGTAACTGAAAAGAAGAAAATATAATATTCACCCAAAAGCCCGTGTAATGAAATGTAGCAAAAATATTTCCTTTTAAATAAGAGTTATCTTGTTTTAAAGCTTTTACTTTATTTTTTGCGGTCAGTTATGTATAACTTAATCCTTTACTTATTTGCAGTATCATTGACAGGTGCTTCCTAAATAGCCACTTATGGCATAGTAGCACAGGACTTTAATGCAGTAAGTCTTCTTTGTCGTGCTGACAGAAAATTTCAACTTGCTTTTTCAGTCTAGGACATTGCCGTATCAAAGAGACTACTGTTTATCAATGACCATGACTCTCTCTCCATTTTCTGGACTACCCGCGCCCAGGGGTGGCAATCACAGATCATAGAATTATCACATACTTATTAGGCATTACAATCACGAAAATAGTTCAAGTAAGATATAAAACTGTTTATGGAGGCCACTTGATGTTTGCGACTCATTTACTACCTCAGATCGCTATACTAATAGTCAGTCGAGAAGGTAACAAGTGTCCTGAACGCAGCTACGTTAGAAGAACATTAGTAATTACCGACTTAAATCAATCAGGCCAGTGATTCACATATCCTGGTGGATTACGACTCTCAATGTAGAATGTAGATGAATGCGAGCTGTCTAACGTGCAGCCTAGGCTACCTACCATAACAGTTTAAAGAGAGTCAAATGTTAAAATTCCGTAAAGCTACAACTCAATCCAAACTTCATACGGGAGAATACATGTTATAAATCTGGGTCAAACGGCAAGGACCAATGAAATCGAAGATATGGTGCTTCGTGAGGCAGAAGACACTCCAACTACTACTACAAGAACTATCAATACTCACTTCTCCAAACCATCTACTGGAGTATCCTGAACTCTAATCAATTGTACCCATACTATGAAAGGCGTGTACTGCTACAGCAGCTTGATGATTACCCACAAAGACTTGTTTTTGCTTAATGGTATGTGGAAGTGTGGCCTTTTTCCGGCTTCCGTTTTATTTACAAACGAGTCATACTTCACCAGAGAAGACACCTGCAATACTCAATTCACATATATGGGCGGTAGAGGGCCCCCGTGTTACATGAACATGTTTAGCATAACAACGGTTTGCTGTAAATGTTTGGTACGGTATTATGAGGGACCACGTAATAGGTCCATTTCTCTTTCTTGTTTGTTAGGCGGGAGGCTGTTATAAGATTTTTTGGGGGGGGGGATTTTTTTCCGGTATTTTTTCCATGGGGCTACATGAAAGTTTTGGTATCCGACACACCCGTGGACAATGAACAGGATTTTGTGACACGTATTTGCTTAACTGCCGTGGCCATTCAAAACACATCAGAAATTCCAAATACATTTGTGATTCCATGTGATGCCGATGTCAGGCTTGCTTTGCAGTTGGTGGTCGAAACTTCAAACACCTTGTATGACCTCTTTTCTATCACAATTTTGACTGATGAAAAAAATAATATTCTTTGCTTTTGTGTTGCTTTCCCATTTCTAGTGTTTTCTGCTCACTTGCACACGACGTGATGTTTCTCACCTCGCACTGTTATTTGATCCAGATTCATATCTGACAATCTACCCCCGCTAGAAATTTGTATACGCGATAGCGAATAATTCTGTAAACAAAGTTTTGGTCCTGCTTTTGTCAAAAATAGCAGACTTACACTTGACCGTTTGCGAATTGCTAAGAAGAAAATTCAGAACATGATTGATCTTGATCACATGCGTTTTTATAATACCAACTAAGCCTGATCTTTGCTTATGGCCCTAAAGATAAATTTCAAGAATGATGAACTGTGAGTGAGTGCCGTGAATATAATGTTCAAACTCTAAAAGATTATTACGAAGTTGTAAATATCTTAGATTTTACAGCAGGTCTTCTTAGATTGAAAATTTCCTCTCATATTACCATATTAAAGTTTAAGACCAAATTACTACCAATCTTGAAGACATACATAAAAGTGCCATCATTACACTTTTTTGGCCTGTTTGAAAGCACTAGAATGCAATTTAACTTTTTCCACACAGCTGCTACATTACAAAGATTCATTGATGTAGTTGCTCGTAACCCTTCTTTCGTTCATGCCTTTGTGGATAATATTTTGGTAGCAAGAAAATTTCATCAGAACAATTATGAACACCTAAAAATCTTATTTATCTGCCTTCAATCATTTGGATTATGCCTCAAAGTTTGAATGCGCACATTTGGTATTTCCACCTCTGAATTTAGAGGTTCCAAAGTTTTTCGGTACGGAATACTATTTCCAAACATTTTCCAAACCCGCAAAGAGTATAATAAAACTTCCTAAACTACCCACTGTTGCTCAATTAAGACTGTTCTTAATTTTTTTTTAAATTTATGAAAGTTTTTTTGCTAAAGGCCGTAGCACCTTTAAATAAAACTTCAGGAAGAACAAAAAATTCAATAAATATAAGGCACAATTCAAACTTTAAATAACAGGATTTACTTCAATGATCAGAGGTAGCTTAGCAAGCATTCATGAAAGCTAAGGATGCTCTAACTAAAATTAGGTACTTTGTCATCCTATTCCAAATGCAAAATTATGTACTATAACTGCCGATGCCAGCTACATTGCTATCGGTGGTTTACTCATGCAAATAAATGAAGATATATGAAAACCAATTGCAGTTTTGTCAAATTCACAACATACAGCGACTAAAAGCCATTTATCCATATCTTTAAGGAAAATTCGGGTAACTGCAGCTTACGTAAAGATTTTATATTTAGTTCTTATTCTTGCCATCCAAGTGAAACTAACAGTAGAATTGCTGATACTTTTCCTAGGGTGGAGATAAATAAAATTCCAAATGAAACATTTTTAGATTTTGAAGCTTTTGCTACAGCCCAACAAGGATCACAAATTGCAGCAACTGTGAAAGCACAACAAAGCATTTCTACAAATCAAGATGATGACTTACTCTGTCGCTACAACAGAATTAATTTATATTGCGTCGACTAGTTCATCCAGACCATGTGTTCCAGAAAGCTTTTGCAGACTATTCGAATACTTAATCTCTCTCCTGCAGCTATAGCGGCAATAAACTAAACTAAATGGTGCAACAGCTCTATCCAAGGTAAATAAACACGTCGATAAATGGCGCAGAAGAGAAGTGAGATAAATAAAATCATATATGCCCCCATTCGGAATAATGGTTAACGATGTTGAGTGCCACACCAAAGAACCTGGATTCGAATCCCGGAGAAAATACGAATGTTTGTAAATATATAGTGTCTGGGCGGCATGGGGACACTCTAAATACACGGCGAGCGGACAGCCCTCTAAAGAGGTTGTTGGTAGGGGAAAAAAGAGTGGGAGACTCTCGGATCCGTCCTCCGGAGGTGCTCTTCATCAAAATTGGGGGTGGAATTGAACAAAGTCATACTGTTACCTGTATGGTGCTCAAGCTCCTGCCAACGACAATCGCAATCTTGTTCTCCTCGCCACGATGTAGTATTTCGTGGCTTGTTCTGATGTTACTGTCAGACACTGAGATAAGTCACAACAATAATCAACAAATCGTATATTTAAAGAAAGATTTCAAAATAGCGTAGTTATGATACAGGATGTCTCATATAAAAGTATACTCAAACTAAACGGAAAAGCATGCAGCACGGAAAGCATTGTATAAAATATTTTTAACAATTCTGTTTTACCCGCTTTTTCCCTGCATGATAACAAGTTAGTGAAGGAAACGTACAGTACATGAATGTGATATTAATATTGAAGCAAAGAGTTTTGATGAAATGTCGCAGGCAAGCTTACCTCTTTTAAAGTTCGCTAAATTTCACTTACCCGGCGTCCAACTAAGGCCGCTAGTTGGGCGCGGTGTAACTAATGCATAAACTTATTACTATTGCGGAATAGTAATAAGTTTATGTTAACTAAGGCATAAACGTATTAAGTAATGGCGTCAGACTATGCTAAAAAGAACAGAATTTGGGAAAAAGAATCTGTGGCTTTGTTTATTCTAGTGGGAGAAAATCAGTCCTAACGTCACCCGTAGTGAGACTACACTTACCCGTACCACAATGCAATTTGTTAATATGCTTTTAATACACATAATCTGATAAAAACAGCATTGTATTGAAGTTCAGGTTGAGTATATTTTTATTCGAGACAACCTGCTCTGTTCTTTTGGTGTATTTAATTATGGCAAAGCACACGAGGGCTATCTGCCTGAGGGGAGGGATGCCTTTCGTGGAGGACTTTCTAAGGGAAACTGGCTCGTATACACGTTACACATGGGGAAAACCACGAAAACGCCCATGCAGCCAGCCCGTTCGCGGGATTCGAACCTCGGACCGAACTACCAGTGTTCAGCGACTTTACCGCTCGGCCGCTGGTGGGCCGCTCTGTTCTTTTGAAAATTAACGCCACTTGCATTTAGATCATGACGTCATTAGTCTTTGTAATTCAAAACGTAACCGTAAACTTTTTCCACTAGATAGCCTACGCAATAAAATAGAAAGACGTATTCTCACGAGTGAAATTATGATAACTTCTATTTTCTCAGAACCCGAAATTCGTTCATACTTATTAATTGAAAGCTGATTTGATCTCAATAAAACAAAATAAAATATTAAAATCATTCCAGACCTTTTTTACAGAAGTTGATTTATATTTATTAACAACAACTGTACTGTCTTTTTATCAGTTAGTATATTATAGACCACTTTTTTCCAGATATTCAGAGTCTGATTATTTTAACAAGGAAGGTCTGCCAATCTTGAATTCTGCAATAGTAAGGAAAAAATACTTCTGACTTTGTACATTTAAAAAGAATGATATCAGTTAAAATTAGCTTCTAAATACCTATAGAAATAATTTTTAAAAATATTAAATAAAGGCGAATTTTCCGAAAAAAAGAACATCGTGTAAATATTGTGAACATTGTGAGACACTGTGAACATTGAGAAATTTCGCAACATTGTGAAATTTAGAAAAGATATTATCTGCTCTGTGCCGCCAAAC